TCATAATTTGAAATTACAGTGCACGTTTTAAATCATTTCTGTGAAATTTGGGATTTTTCGTTGGAAAACCAGGTCTCTTCTACAACTGTAAGTTTAAATTAATGGAACTTTTGTAAAACGTTTTAATTTCTTTGTAGGTACTATACAATAATATGTAAGTACTGTACTATCCTTTGATTTATATTCTGTTTGGATATCGTAATAAGCATTTAAGAAAAATTTGGCGCCTCCTCAACACCTTCACATATTAAAATTAAGCATACTTGCTGCAATCAATAAAATCTTAGATACCTAATTGATAATTAGCATAGCATCATTATGGGTTTTTAAAATGTTTTATAGTCCAGGAAACATAATGGGATTTAGTATTTAATTTGTTGGATTAATGTAATTTTCTTTTTTGTATTCAGATATTTTCTTCTGGTACATTAAACATACATTGCAGACTTCCGAATCCAAGGGTCTGTGGTTCGAATCCCACTGTTGGCCGGATTTTTATAATTAATTCTTATGCACAATTAAGATTTCCCACTCGACCATTCACTGTTAAGTTCTAATTAACTGTAATGTTCCTAAAGTGGCGATGAAAAACAGCAACAAGGCCTACACTATGATGTATTACAGTACTAGTACTCCATAATCTACACAGAACACGAGGAGACCTAAGTTGTCGAAGCCGAAAACACCAAAAAAATAATACACATAAATGTGTTTAAAAGTATATACGCAAAAGAATGTCTGCCATATCAAGTTAGAAGCCTCAAACAACAATGTAGTCTTGCTTGCACTTTGGCGCGTGTCTATTTCACACTATAAGAAACTGGTTTGCCAAAATGCGATTGCATAGTGCAGTCGACAGCAACCGCACATAGCGGTCCATCTATTTCGATTAGCTTAAGAGTTTCGATGTAGTAGTGAAAGTCCGTTCATCTAGTCTAGCCACCTAGCTAACCCCTAAAGGTAATTTGCAATTAATTATTGCAATTAATTATTATTAAGAATGTATCACCAGAGTAAACAAGTATTTTCTACGAATAAGTTGTGGGATGGCCAGTAATGCGTGTTGCAGGTAACTCGTTAACCGGTCTATAATATATTATGTACGCGATTAATGAAATACTCCAAAGAAAGTAACGCAATTTTTCAATGAAATATCTGGTCTTGTTGAGTCACATTTACATCCCACTTAATAACAAACCCATTAAACAACTTATAACTTGTTAACCAGTAATGAAATGACAATTCTGAGTAAAATTTTAGTGATGTCAAAAGTGCAGAGAACGCGATTTTGGAAAAAATTTGATTTTTGTTTTATTCGCCTTCAGACAGTTTATTTATGTGTACGAGGTTTCGAAAGGTTAGTGAAATGTTTTTAGTGATTCTGATTTTCGGAACCATCTGGAATGATTATATCGATCAACATTTAATATTACACCAGACAAAAAATTAAATTTATTAAAATGAGATAATAAAAAAAAAAAGGTAAAAAATTACAAACAATTTTATTGTTTCGAAGTACAACACTTTTTCAAATTTAAAGGTCATCTGTAGGGTTGCCAGACGTCACACTTTAGACGTATTTTCCACGCTTTTTGACTTGCTTGTACGCTCAACGCCACAGTACGAATGTACGAAAATGTCCCGCTTTTGAGAAAAACGCCACTCTTTTTATGCAAATGTCACTCTTTTTAATATTCAAAGCCATAAATAAACAGGAGGAAGTGAATTTATAGAAACATATAAGGTGAAGACCTTTTTTTTTTTCGGCTAAAGGCCCCTCGTTTACGAAAAATAAAAGCTGAGGGCTTTTTTTTTTAGAAATTTCACAAATAATGGACCTGATTATATAAGATTGCTTGTTATTTGAACCCGATGCTCCATCGTCAGGTTATCAACCCTAGTCATCGGCATATAGTCTCGTCTTGACGGGATTTTGGAAATTTTTAACAATATTGTTAAAAGCAATCAAGAAAAGGGTAGGGCTTATTACAGAGCCTTACGGTATTCCGTTTTCTTGTAATTTGTTTGTTGATAAAGTGCTATTTGTTCTTATTTGAAAACTACGTTTGTACAGAAAATTTTTAATAAAATCAAGCATGTTTCCTTCAATATGTGTAAAATGTTTATTCTTTTTACAGTATCGAAGAAAATGGTTAGACATTTTTGTTTATTCGCCAAGGCTTCGTGAATATCGCTAAATTAGTCTAGGATGTTATCTATGGTACTTCTTTGTTTTCGTAATCCACTTTGTTCGCAATAAATCAGTTGGTTTTGATCCAGTTGCCATGCAAGCCAGTTATTAACGATTTTTTCGGGTACTTTGCACATTGTGCAGGTTAATGAAATTGATCTATAAGATTCTGGTAAAAGTTTGTACTTTTTAAAAGGCAAACTAGAACAGATTCAAAGAACAACGTGTCTGCAAAGGATAGCTGTGGTTTTCGGTACCCAGACAACTGCACCGCATTTTAGCATAGGTCTTATAATGGCCGTGTCCATGAGTCCATGCGACGACTCTGGGGGAAGAAACCCCAGGTGAGCCCCACCATTTGGCGGCCTCTTTTGCTCTGTTTCTAAGTGTGAGTTCCATGTTAACTTGCTGTCAAAGGTGAGACCTAGATTCCTCACCTCTGTTCCAAAGTTTAGTTTTGTGTTTAGGAGTTCTGGAGTATTTAATTCCATTTTTATTCTTTTCATTGTGAAAAGGACCATTTCTGTCTTCTAGGGATTGATAGACAGCGAATGGTCCTTGCACCACTGTTCTATAATTTTGAGAGTTACTTTCATTCTTTCGCAGAGTATGTTCTCGAAATTCGCTGTTTGCAGAATGATCAGGTTGTATGCATATATTATTGTGTAGTGACTGTCATTATTGAGGCGACTGATAAGAATGTCGAGGACCATGTTCCACAGTAGAGGTGATAGCACCCCTCACTGTAGACATCCCCTCGTAACCAAGCCTCTTATATTCACATCTTCTACACGTATGTTTACTGCTCGCGTTCAGAGCATGTTGTATATCAACCCACTAACTATCTGTGGAACATTCCTGTTGTTTAATGAGTGTATTATCTTGGGACTTATCAAAAGCACCTTCTATGTCTATGAAAACACCAAAGGCGGACTCCTTATTGTCCACGGATCTTTCTATCCGGCCAGCAACTAGGTGAAGGGCTGAATCAGTAGATCTTCTTGGGGTGTATGCATGTTGATTTGGGTGTAGTTGTGTTGTAATCACCACATCCCTTATGCACCTTTCGCATAACCTTTCCAATGTTTTAATGGAAAACGAGGTTCGGATATAAATACTATCTTTACCTTTCTCCATTTTTGGGGGATATACCTCAGAGCCAACGAGGATCTGAATATACCTACCAGGTGCGGTGTGAGTTCTCCAGACCCCACTGAAGTAAAGCTGGAAAGATACCGTCAGGTCCTGTCGATTTAAATGGAGAAAACTTAGATATTGCCCATCGAATTTTATCATCGTCTACATTGTGTTCGGCAGTTTGTTGTACTCTTCTTCTGCCCAGTCGGCCACATCCGGGATGACCGAGTTTGGGAAGTGTGTTGACAGCAGAAGTTTAATGCTATCTTCGAGGTTTGCAGTTTTCATGCCATCCTATTTGATAAGCGCACCAATACTGAGGTGTGGATCTTTTGAGAGAGCCTTTTAAAGACTCGCTGCCTGCGAGAAATCTTCGGTCTCTTCGCAGTGGGATCTCCATGCATCTCTCTGTTTTTGTTTAACGATTTTTTTGCATTCTCTGAGATGAGATTTGTAAGTATCCCAGTCCTCTTTAAGTTTTGTGGTTCTTGCCTTATTAAAGTATTTCCTAGCCATCTTCCTGAGGTGATCCAACTCGTGACACCACCATGCGGTAGTCGTCTGATCTTGTTGGACCAGCCTCAGGGGATAGGATTTCTTATAGGCATTGTTTATTGTGCTTTGAATAGTGTTCGAGTACTTTTCCAAAGCATTGTTATTGTTTGGTGTTTTGGCCCCCACCTCTCTCAAAGCCTATTTGGAGAAGGTGAGCATAGGTTGCCCTGTCCATCTTCCTACGGTTTCGAGATAACGTGGAGGGCGGCACCATCAAGCTTATTTTGAATGTTAACCAGCGCTGATCTGACATCGAAATGTCATCAGACACTTGCCAGTTTAGAATTGATTTATAAACACCAGTTGTTGATAGTTGTTGATAAAGTGATATGTATTTATTTGTGTTTGTGAGAGTTTAAAAATGTAGTACCTTTATTTAAAATAGAAATATTTTTGGTAATTATATAATCATAAAGTGACTTGCCTCTAGCGTTGTTAGCCTTACTGTAAAAGCCGTTAAACTACCAAAACTGTTTATTTATTAGTATACACTATTCTATATTTTATTTTTGGCTACGCGGTCAAGCTAAACTAAGACAGCCACTACTGCTTTCCTTCGCTGCTATCCTCCGCCCTCCGTTCGTCCGCCCTGACTTGCCAGGAGTATTGACAGTGACGCGTGGTCAATAATGTTGGTGTGCAAGGGAGGTATCACTAACATGTATAAAGTGATCCTAAAATTTGAGGCATTTCTTTACAAGCTTACCACAACTTACTAGAACATATGTTATCAGATCATTTCTGTATTCGGTTTGGTTACTCCGATGACGTCATATGTTACCAAATATGTAACTACATCTAACGAGGCATTTCTTTATAAGCTTACTAGAGCATACTATAATAAAAAGTAACAAAATCAAAACATCCTAAAATTTTTTAAAATTCAAATTTCGTTTAGAAATCTTTAAACTTAAATTTGACATAGGTCTGTGCATTTCACCTCCACTACTATAATTTTTGCCTTTCGTTATTTTATAATTTTTACTATTTTTCAACTAACTTATCGAAGTACCGTTTTCCCCCTAGTATTTTAATTTTTTCTGTTAAATACTTTGTAAAACACATTTATGTATGTCGTATTTGAAATGCATTTAACATTTTTTTTTTTAAATTTCAGACTTTGGATTACGACAGAGATGGGTTGACAAAAATGAAAAAGGCCATTAAGGCCATCCATACTTCAGGAAATTGTAAGTATATATCATTTAAACGCACGAATAATAATCTTCCTGTACTTAATAATAATAATTATACTTCAATGTCATCGTCGACCCAAATTTCAAACACTGCCAGTTATCTCTGGTGATTTTCGGAGAACAAAACCAGAGGTCATTTTCGGTTTTAAGAGATTTCACATTACATTGCATGGATTACATTGGAGTTTCTACATACAGGGTATCTCAAAAGTATGAAACTTCGAAACTATATCGCATCTTAAAAACAAAAGTAACTCTTTGTAAAATCCTTCTCACAGCAATTCGGTTGTTCCTAATGGAACTATTTATTATAGACCTAATTTATTTGATGACCAGAAAGGTAGAAAAATAAAATCATAAATTACCGAAATGGCAATCTAATAATCATTCTGCATAAAATTTATTTTGCAACCTATTTAGGGGGTGACGACAAGCCGGCTCACCGTTATGCTTTTAAATGTCAATTTGTTAATATAAATTTTATGCAGTACCTAACTTGTAACATAGATTTATGAGTACTGTAACGGCCTACCCCCGGTACCCCATTTGATCGTTGTTTTACTCCCTGAAATGTTATTATTTACCTCACAAGTTTATTTTACTTTAAATTCTATACTTTCTGTATTTGGCCTTTTTCCTCTAGTAGTAGTGATCGTCTAGTTAATTAATTGATAATTTATATACCCACGTTGTGATAATGTTAATTAAGATAAACAAGGATTCGATGCAAAGTTTGGTGCAAATTGATAAATAAAACCACACAAATTTATATTTAAACTCTTTTATTTTTCATACTTTAAATGTGATGCAATAATTAGCAAAATATATTACAATTGGTACTATTTACTGAGACCTCACTTGAGTCTCGTTTTAGGTTGATGACCAACGGAGTTAACGAGCAGCGTCAATTCGCCAGTTGTTTAACTACTGTGTTGATGTTCATATTCTTATTTAGGTTGATGACCAACGGAGTTAACGAACAGCGCCAATTCGCCAATTGGTTACCTTACTAAGTTGATTTCACATAAACTTTGTTTCAAACCTAGTAGAACGGGTTACTTAGCATATATGTGTCCCCAATTGAGCTAACGAACAGTGTATTCACTAGTTGGTTAACTTACTGTTACATTTTACCATCTTGGTTTGTACAATTTATCCAAGATAGCACATCCCTGTATATTTTTTAATATTGACTTTTATAATTTCTATTGAAATACTCAAAATTTCATCCATCGAAAACAGGTGTCTATCCTAACTCTCTTTCGGGGTGTATGACCTGAAGGCCATGGGGTTTATTGGTTACATTGATAATATTTTAAAGGACATGTCAAGCCCTCGTTCCAGAGAAACCCCGGTGGTATCTCAAAGAAACTTACATAAATCATTTGACTCACCATTGAAAATACAGACATTACATTATGTACTAATTTCATCTAACGTTGTGACGGCGCCGATTTAGGTACGTCGCAGCATTGAGCGTAGCCTGGCGTCGAGGCGCCTAGCGTCGTGGTAGAGATGAAGATAAATACGGTACTGCATTGGGACAGATATACGGTACTGCATTGTGACAGATATAGAGTAGAAATATTTAGGTGGTACGGCACGTGATGAAGGGTGTCGACAAGGATATTATGAAGGAAATATTTAGGGGCAGCAAGCGTCGATAAGTAGAGCGATGGGACGCTGGGTGTCGGAATGAATGTAAGGTAGGAAATACTTAGATGGTGCGGAATGTGACAGCGTTCAAGACATAGATAGGTAGAAAAGTAGGGCGTCTCGACGTTGAGCGTCGGGATGAATATAATGGTAGGAAATACTTAAATGGTGTTAGAAGTGATGGCGTAGAAAGGTATGGAAGTAGAACGGCAGGACGTTGGGCGTCGAGACGTTGACACCTTCGGGGATAGGAGGTATTGTAGGATAGACGTCGTTTAGGAAGAGCGTTTTAGGAAAGGTACGGACTATATAACTGGATACAAATAATAAAGTGATTGCTTGAATGTAAAATAATAAAATGATTGCTTGAATGTAAAATAATAAAATGAATGCTTGCACATCAAGTAATAAAAACTGAATGAATCCCAGCTCATTTGGGCCTGTCTTCTTATACAAGTTTTAACGGCTTTTCGTGAAGTCTCTGTGTTCCTTGGTTCCCAGCGAACTAAGAATGTGGATGCAAAGGGGGTGGCTGATTTATTACTTGCCTTAAAAATTTTGTGTATCGAAAATAACGTTACTATTCAAACGCACTTAAGATAAGTGTGTCAAGTGTTTCTAGGTTTGGGTTCTCAGACACGTGCACGAAAATTGGATCTCTTACAGACAGGGTTATAGATATTATTTATTAGGTGTCGTAAATAAGATTTAATTATCTGGGAGATTTTTCGTTAAATGAAGGATTTTGAATTTAATAAGAATGCACTATTATATTTAATAAATGGAATTAATAAATTATTAAGGTACCTGGGTGCGGTAGGTTACAGTACCTACCTACTTATTGCTTAATTAAGTTTGAGCGTTTCAACAAATTCGCATGAAAAGTGACAAAATCCAAACTTATGGCCTTTTACCTTCCAACTACAGCTATTGCATATTTAAATTTTCATAATTCTACTGATAAAACACATACAAACGAGTTTTTAGATTTACGAATCCATTATGTCCATATAACAAAGTAAACTAACCCAAGCTGTATCTGAAATTGTGAATAACTCCCGGTTTTTTAAGTTATGCATCAGTGGACCCTATAAAACTGCATTGTTGTGACCAACCATCAAGGTTGCCTCTAATTTTGTTTAAAATTTTAATTCGTTGTTAAGCAAAGAATGTCATTGCACTTTTATTATCTAGCAGGTAACAATGATTAGTGGGCTGAAAAATCGTGCTCTGCTATTTTCTCACTTCCGGTTGACTGAATCAAAAGTTAATTAATTTTTTTATGAGATAAATACTCTAAAACCATTCTTTTATCACTAATTTTGTTCACTAAATTAGGTATAAAATTTAATATATCAAACATTCATACGAGGTACAAAAAAACTTGTATAAAGTTGCAATGTTTTTAATCGCATAACAGCTTTACTTTGGCTAACACCGTCTCTGTCTGCAAGCATAGATCAATTATTGTTGTTTTGGTTTTTTCGTTCTAATAATAATTTATCGGAAAATACTTTTAGTGGAATTAATTAATGTGTTGAGCCTTGTGGTGATTTTTAATTCATTTTGGCAGGGCCAAGGTGGTGGGTAGAGGGAAGCCACCCACTGAAAGCCCAGGGACTCGATTCTTGAGTACATTGAAAAATTTTCCCATTGGAAAAGATTCCACTGCTTGTATTCCCATGGTAATAGTTTATGCTATTATCGAACATCCCGGAATAGACATTTCGATGGAAACGGTGGTTTCACGTATGTCTGATATTACGTTCATGAACATTTCGAAACGACCAATAACATTAAAGATATTTTAAAAGTTACTCTTGGCATTATTGGTATTTGTGCCATGTTCCAAGTAATCGCTAGCATGACCGAGGAACAAGTTAAAATATTCAATTGTGTATAATTAAAACTTGTTAAATTATTATTTTTTTATTTGTTGAAAAAGGTAGCTTTTGTATGGAAGATCAAATAAAGTCTCGAAAAACTAAGAAATTCATTTAAATCAGAAGTCTAATTACTTCACTCCCTCAAATAATTAATGATATTTTCGAAAGAGTCTACTGCATTATTTAATTTAACAAAATTCTCTATTTGGATTATTTGCCAGTACCTCAGCAGCTTCCACAATTTCTAACTGATTTAAGAAAATCAGTTCATAGTTTCTTTATGAAAGAAACAACGCTAAATAAAATAAGAGAAATAAAAACGACGAAACGCATGTGCCTTTTGATATGTTTTTTATTTATACTATGTTATCATTAGATCGTAAATTTTTTTTTATTTGTTATTAAATATTTTTTTATTTCAATTTTAAACTTTTTTGTTTTGATTATTTGCCTGAGGTGTATCGGAATTATATTAAAAAATACGTGTGGCACTCGGGGACTGCCGCGGTAAAGCTATTGCATAGCATTTTTTTATCAACTTATGCAATTATAATTATTTATTTATTTTATTTATGCAGTATTTTTTCTTTGATATTAATTCAAGTTTTTTCTTTGATATTAATTCAAGTTACACTTTTTGAGCGTGGTGACCGATAAGAAAACAATTTTTCTTCTTTTATTGAATAAAGGAGAAGTTAATATTGTTTAAAATATTTTTATTATCTTACAATACATGTAGGTTATTCAGGAATTTTTATCATTGAAACTATAGGTTTATGGTAACTGAAATAGAAACATAAGTTTGAGATTTGATGTCATCTAAATATCTGGAAAATACCGCGTCAATGGTGGTCCCATATTTTGTTGTGGATTATTGTGGATCATTATTCATTTTCAAATTCAATTTTTCCGAAATTGTGTCTAAAAGAGATAGAATCAGTTATGAGCAGTTAGCAGCTAGTCTACACGCATACGTCTAGTCGTATGCACACAAATACCCAGCCGAAGTCTGCCGAACTGAAACGACGTCAGACGACGCACTGCTTTCAACGCCGCACCGCTGTGCCGGTCGGAGTGGGGGGGTGTTAGGTTTATTTTCGTTACGGAATTTCTTTTTCGATTTTCTTTTATTGAATAAATGAGAAGTTAATATTGTTTAACGCCGCACCGCTGTGCCGGTCGGAGCGGGGGGTGTTAGGTTTTTTTTCGTTACGGCACGTTACGGAATTTCTTGATTCGGTCGCCGCGCTCAAAGCCCACGATAAAAGCTATGCAATAGCTTAAAAATATTTTTTCTACATTAAAAATATCAATCGACTTAAATAATAAGCACAAACAAGTAAAAATCGATAAATTCGCCATAAAATTTTTTTACTACTACAATTTCATCTAAAATCCAATATCCAAGATATCCAAAAATCTTTAGTTATGTCTAGTACAAATCCCATTGGA